GCATTCATATCTCGTAGCAAAATATATTACGAGCATGGCAACAAAGCAGGTAAATACCTAGCGAGGGCCTTGAAACATCAACAAGCCTCTAGGATCATCTCCCAGATTATAGTTTCCAAGGGTATCAAGCATCTAGACACGCCCAATATAGCATCACAATTCAGATCCTTCTATGGACATCTCTACAACATTGCCCCTCCAAAATCATCATCTTCCACCCAGGAAGCTAGAAAACGTCTCATTGATTCCTTCTTGTCGACACATAGCCCTCCACCCATAAGCGAGACGCTCACAGCAGATTTAGAAGCCCCTTTCACCTCCCAAGAAGTCGCGAAGGCAATATCACAACTAAAACCTGGGAAAAGCCCGGTTCCGGATGGATTCACATCACTACAAAACATTCTCGGAACACCTCATCCCTCACTTTCTTTCTGCCTACGACCTCTCCCCTAGGAGGCCCCACGTCTCCACCCATCTACTGGAAGCCTGCATCGTGGTGTTGCCTAAGCCGGGAAAGGATGTGACCTCCTGTGCCAACTATCGCCCAATATCCCTTCTTAACATCGATGTCAAGCTGCATGCGAAAATAATAGCGAACCGCCTTGCTACCCTACTCCCAGACATTGATGGTGATCAGACAGGTTTTATCCCTGGAAGGTAAGCGCGCGACAATACCACTAAAGCAATAGGCCTTCACGACTGGATCAAACGTAGCGGACGTGCGGGTTTTCTCTTGTCCACTGATGCGGAGAAGGCCTTCGACAGGGTGGCATGGGACTATCTTTTCGCATCCCTAAGCCATATTGGCCTGGGCTCTCGCATGATGGACCGTATATCCCTGTTGTATCACAACCCGATAACAAGGATTCGTGTGAATGGGTCACTGTCCGAGGCCTTCCCCATACACAATGGCACGAGACAGGGTTGCCCGCTGTCGCCACTCCTCTTTGTCTTGGCTCTGGAACCCTTTCTCTGGAGAATTCGCTCCAATTTCAGCATACATAGGTTTTACACGCCTTGCAAGGAATTCAAAGTAGCCGCTTTCGCGGATGACCTGCTATTTTTCCTGACAACCGAGGATTTCCCTTCCTAACCCGTTGAGCGCGTTCCAGGACTTCGCGGAACTTTCATTCTTCAAAATTAACCTCTCCAAATCGGCCGCTTTAAACGTTTCCCTTCCGGACGAACTGGTTCAATTCTGCAAATCCCAAGTTCCGTTCAGTTGGGCGGACATATCCATAACATACCTGGGGATTGAACTCCCTTAATGACCTGCAACTACTTTATCCCCTCAATTTCCTCAGCCAACTAGCTCGACTTAGAACCGACATGAAAGAACGGAACAAAAAGCTGTACTACTGGTTCGGACGTACAGCCATTCTAAAAATGACTGCCATGCCTAGATTCCTATACCTGTTCCAAACTATACCCATTTCCATTCCCAGGGCCTTCTCCTCAGTGAACACACTATTTCGCAGCTTTCTGTGGAACGATAGATCACCACGGATCGGGTTCCAGACCCTGACCCGCCCGAAGCTCTCAGGGGGCATAGGACTCCAACATGTACTAAACTACTATCGAGCATGTCACCTATCCCGCGTCCTAGACTGGGCTCGTCCTGAGCAATTCAAGGATTGGGTCCAAATCGAACAGCTCCGAGCAGACTGTCCGATTGGCTCCTGGCCTTGGATACAGCGTTCCCCGATTTCTCCCCAGGTGCTCTCCCACCCGACGGTGGGGGCATCCCTGCGCCTCTTTGATTCGGTGTGCAGGAACTCGGGATTCTCGTCCATACCCGGTCCCCTCACCCCATTCACCATGAACCCGGCTTTTCCTCCAGGTCTCCATCCCGCATTCCTTAAATGCTGGTCCCCTACAGCCAACAAGTTCTTCGACAGCCAGGGGCGATTCAGGTCTCTGAATGACCTAAACTCAGAAATCCAAGCTGGGCCACTGTCACTGTGGAAGTATATGCAGATACACTTCCTTAATGCACAACAAATCAGACATCACTTCACACATCCTCTCACTCCATTCGAGAGACTTTGCGTGGCATCAGGACGGATCTCGCATACAGGGTCAGAAGCTTATTCTCTACTTTGAGTCCTCCTCTCTCCCACCCACACCCTCTACAAAGGCTTGGGAAAAGGCCTTACCCATAAGCCTCACCCCTGAAGACTGGGAAAGAATGGATGAATTGTTATTGAAGAGCTCATGTTCAGGAAACTAAATACGCTCTAGGTGGTACAAAACCCCCCGAGATCCTTCATCACATCTTTCCCAATACGCCCAACACCTGCTGGAGATGCGATCAAGATGTTGGTACACTTCTTCACATATGGTGGTCCTGCCCAATTACCAAGTTTTGGCCTGAGATCCACTCACTCATTAGAGCCATAACAGGAGATTCATTGGATTTCTCCGCAGTTTCCTTCTTACTATATCACTTTGATGAAGCGCTCCACAACTCCAAAAAGTCTCTGACATTACAACTGCTGAACGCGGCTAAAACGGTGGTTCCTAGACAATGGAGGAAACCAGAGCCACCGACGATTAGAGAGTGGCTGGCGCGGGTGGACACAGTAGCTCACATGGAGGAATTAATTTCCAGTGACAGGGATACCATGCCCCGATTTGTGAAAACGTGGGCGGCCTGGCACATGTTCAAAGCGACGGACAGATACGTCGCCCTAACACAGTAACACATGACTCCCTCTACTACGGAACTTTACCTTCTCACTCCCACCATCATCTAGCGCTATTGCCCAACCTTACCTACAGTAGAACCTGAGGCTCCTCCCGTTGGGCCTGGAAGCTGGCGAGAGATGGATGCTTTCTCTCTCCCTCTCTTTCCCCATAACCTACTCCTCCCCAGCACTCCCTCCCCCACCGGCTCCTCCCCCGTCTCCTTTACCGTCACACTAAGGGACCTGTATATTCTCCCCCCCCCCCTTTATTTTCTTCCTCTCCCTTCCTCACCCTAGGCTGAGTTAACTTACCAGGACAAGTCATGCCACTCTACCATTGCATTGAACTTCCTTTTAGGCAAGCACAGCAAGCATTGATTGAACTCCCTCCATGCCCTAGGTAAAGTCACCTATCAAGAAGCAAACAACTTTTTAGCAACGCATGGGTCCCCCTAATCCATACAAGTCCTACTTAGGCCTCTTCAGGTTACCAATCAATGCATAATTGACTACATGGAATGTTCTAGGGCTGCAACAACTAATCGACAATCGAATATAAATCGATTGAAAAAGTTGTCAACTTTTTCAATCATCGATTAATCGGCTTCAGATTGGTTGACCCTGTTCACGGCTCCACACACGCTGCCAGACCCGACCGCATTCACGCTCCACACACCGCACCTCCTCCCCGCCTCATGCTCACCGCCCGCCCAAATCCACGATCGGCACAGGGACGCAGGGAAAAGTGAGGAGGAGCAGGTGTGGGCGGATGACAGCTGCCGATAGACAGGCCCAATCTCAGAAGTTGCTGGAAGACTGCTCAGGTAAGCCTGCACCCCCTCCCCCCCACATGGTGCTCTATAATATATTGCTGGGATTTGTATTCCTCTATAGCTGATGGTACATTGTGCTGTATATTATACCATCAGCTATAGGAGGAATACAAATCCCAGCAATACATTACACTGTATGTATAATGTACTATTGCTGGGATTTGTTGTATTCCTCTATAGCTGGTGGTAATCGGCATTGCGCTGTATACATTATACAGCGCAATGCCGAATACCACCAGCTATAGAGTACAACAAATCCCAGCAATAGTACATTATACAGTGGTGTAATGCCAAATACCACCAGCTATAGAGGACTGCAACACCCAGCAATAGTATATTATACAGCGCAATGCAGAATACCACCAGCTATAGAGGACTACAACACCCAGCAATAGTACTTTATACAGTGCAATGCAGAATACCGCCAGCTATAATGTACTATTGCTGGGATTTTTTGTATTCCTCTATAGCTGGTGGTATTCTAAATTGTGCTGTATAATGTACTTTTGCTGGGTTTTGTAGTCCTCTATAGCCGGTGCCATTCATTGCTGTATAATTTTAGACTTTTCATTTCACTATATTGCACACCACACTTTTCTTTTCTTTTTTTACTTCCATAGCTCCAAGCTTTCTCCTGTGATGGACTGCAATCTCACTACAAACTAGTAGTCCCATCACTGGAGCCATTTTTTTTAATTTATTTTATTTTTATCCGAATAATCGAACTTAATAATCGGCTAACTAATCGATTTTGAAAATAATCGTTAGCTGCAGCTTTAGAATGTTCTTGCTGTGCACGTTGATACCTTCTATTCGATATATTGAGGCATGTTCCCCTGGAATTCCCTTTCCCCCTTGTAGATATGTCTCGCTGTTTATTGTACTTTATTATACTTGACTAATGTTTGTAACTATGCAAATTACAAACTCAATAAAATTGTACTTGTTAAAAAAAAAAATACAAAGACAGTTAAGTAATTTAAGCATAATATACATATACAGTTTATTATGTTATCAAATTAATTCATAGTACACTAAAATATTTCTACAATTATGCCTAAAAATAATATTTGCACACACTTCTCATAACTCTACTTTAGTGCAATGTGCACACAGGAGCAACCTCAAATCAAGCATAAATAGAGTCGGTCAGGGACATGATTTACCAATCTCACACCAAACAGCACAAGAATTATTAACAGAGGCATTCTAACTAAATTTGTGGCAGGTCATGTAGCAAACAGTTTATATGCATATAGGAGGTTAAATCATAGAACACCAAAACACCGGAGACAAGAAATCAAACAGCAGCAGGCAAGTATACAGAATTGGTGAAAACCTAATCAGCAAGAATATCATAGGAGATTATACAACACATATGCAAGTAGAAATTATACACAGCTAGACTTCCTACATACAGAATAAATATTTCTATGTTATTACAAACACACATGAATACTGTACAGCCCTTGTTCCATCCCAAACATAACGCACTGCTAAAGCCATTCATCCCACTTGTGAGAACAGCCTAAGCCAACTCTAAGGAACTGTTCTTTTCATTTGACGTGTACACAAATTTGCAGGTTGGATCCCATCCTGAATACTTAGAACTCTCCGACATCTGCTCTCTTGTCACGCAGTTTGCTTCTAGCTTTTGTGCGAGCTTTGAAAGCAGCAGAGTTGTTCATGTGCTTAAGTGGAAAGAAAAATGTATTAAAAAAGCAGCCATACCCAAGCAAGAATGTGTCATACTGCACAAAACTAGAATCACTTACAATTCAGTTTAGCGTTTGGTACAGATCACACCACATCCGGTGTGTTCCGGCACAGTTAGTGACAGGAACGCACTGGATCGAATAATAAAAGCCTCCCCCGTTCTGGGGTGGGAGGGTGCGTGGTAGTGTCATTAATGTTAAAGGCACCACAGACACGCCTCCTGCCCACAGTGCATGCAATATATTTTGTGAATGCCCCCTCCCGCCTCAGGAGGCTTTTATTATGCGATAGTGTGTTCCGGCCACTAACCGTGCTGGAATGCACTGGATGTGGTGTGAACAAGCCCTTATGTTGGCCAATATCACACACATGTGCATCCATAAGTTGCCATAAATTATTCAGAGGCCCTCCTGTATCCAGAAATCACAAATATAAATGGACAACCGCCTGAAATTTGGTTTGTTCCACAGAAGCTAGTAGCCCAGATGCAGACATCGAATATGCTAAAGATAGGTTATTATAGCCTCAGTGATTTTTCTCATTTTAACCGTTAGTCTAAAAACACCAAAAGACTGGTGAGGTAACTACAGTTTATACTATTTTAATTACAGTCCAGTGCCCTATTAAACCATCCCAACCATTTAATAGGGCTATGGAAGACCAAGGCTTCTTTCATTTTTTGTTTACATGTCATAATCCACATTTTAGGCTTGAAAAATACTTAAAGCCCCCCAAACATTTTCTGAAAGCCAAGACCCTGTACAACAAAAGTGTGGCAGTTACAAATTTTTATGTTGCATGATAGTAACACAACTCATCAAAACCCAAAATTTTGTGAAAAATGCACTTAAATGCCCCAAAAAACAGTACCCTTTTTTTGTAAAATATAAAAGATGAGGTAACGAGTAGATACGCAACATGCCCAGGTTAAAAATTGTGTGCCCCTGTGAAACTGCAACAAAATTCAGTACCCCAAGAAGTCCATAGACTACGCTATAAAAGCCCCCACAGGTCACCAGTTTAGAGAAATGCGTAAATATTGGCTCTAGAATTACTGCTCTCACTCCGGCATGTGCAGCAAGCCCCCCTTGTGATAGCATATTGGTGGTGACCGGTACTCTTGGGAGGGTGGGGGGGGGGG